GCCGGTGCTCCAGCAGCTGCTTCTGTGCCTGCCGGTAGATCTTGAGCAGGCGCGCACACAGCGTCTGATGCAGCCGCAGGAAGAAGTACCAGTTGTTGTTGGCGAAGAACAGGCTGTACACGTCGTCCAGGGCCTTGGGCAGCTCCGGCGGTGCGTCCCCGCCTGCGGGGGGCTTCTCCTCGGTGGGCCGCCGGCGCTCGGGCTCCCCCTCGCGGTCACGCTCATCCGTGGAGTCGTCGGAGGCGCCAGGGCGCTGCTGCGAGAAGAACAGGCTGGGCAGAAAGCGGTGAAGCAGCTGGCGGATGGTGCCCTGGTCCTCCTTCTGGATGGCCGGCTGCCGCTTCACGTAGTAGCTGATGAGAGCCGCCGCGTCCTCCAGGATCTGCCGGTCTTCGTACACGAAGATGAGGTGCGGCTCGCTGGACGGCGCGCTGCGGCCCTCCGAGTGCTGCTCCTGGTGCTGCAAAGGCAGCAGTCAGTCACCCGAGCCCCGCCTCCAGCACGACAGGGTCCTCAGAAAGGGTGAGCCATGCTGGCAAGCGGGGCACCCTTCCTCTCCTCTCACCGGTTCACAGCTCCTCTGCAGGGTCCAGCTCCCAGCCTACCTATCTCTCCACTGGGCAAACCAAGGCCAGCGTTAGCACGGAGGGCTGCAACTGAATGACAGAGCCACTCTTCTGGGTTTCCCACAGACATGGCCACGGGGTGAGGCTCCGCACGTAACAGGGGCCTTCACCATCTGTCACCGAAACTCAGCTCCACGTCTCGGGGCGGGGGCACAGCTTAGCAGCCCCTCCCCACATCCCTGCCTAACCCCTAACCTCATGAAAACAGCTTGCCACCTGTCCTGCTCCTCTGTCAACAAGGGCATGGGCGGGCACCTGCCCCAGGCTTTTAGAGACCCTCGTCCTTGGCCTGCTACTGTTAGCTCACTGGCTTTGGCCAGGTTCCCTTCTGCTGAGCCCGCCTTTGGACACACTGTCCAGGCAAACCTCTTTCCCATATATCACCTCTTAGAGTTGATCTAGACAATGACCTTCCCAAACCCAAAGGTGAGGACAACCCCCTCCCCCATCTCTACTCTCTGGGGGGGCACCAACTCCAGGCACTGCATGGAGAGATGTATGAGTTCTGTGGATACTGTCTCTTTAGACAGGGAGCTTTTGGGGGGGTGGGCTGGGTGTCAGTCACCTCAGCTCTTACTGGTCAGTGCATGGTGAGGCTCTGGAGCTCCCTTAAACACCTTCTGAGGCAGGACCCAGTTTGCCAGCATGCTTCTCATCAGAGGTCAGACTCTTTTACTGAAGGCCAGGAAACTTAACTCAGTACCTCAGAGACCCACAACCAGAGCCCAGGGTGGGCCCAACGCCCCTCTCAACACAGTGCCTTACACACCCCGGGCTGCCTCTGGCTTCTGAAGTCTCCTATTGTGTTCATGCCACAGTGTTTGTGCTCCACTAGGGGTTTTCGGTTTTTTTGTTGTTGTTGGTAGTGGTGGTGGTGGTGGTGGTGGTGGTGGTGGTGGTGTGTGTGTGTGTGTGTGTGTGTGTGTGTGTGTGTGTGACCTTGACACAAATGATAGTCTTCTGGACAAAGGAATCTTGGTGAGGGGACTATTTCAATGAGGGAACTGCCTACACTACACTAGCCCAAACCATGGGGCATTTTCTTGATGGATGATTGATGTGAGAGGGCCCAGCTCACTGGAGGTGGCACCACCCCTAGACAAATGGTCCTAGGTCACAAAAGCAGGCTGAGCAAGCCAGTAAACAGTAATCCTCCATGGCCTCTGTGTCAGCTCCTACCTAGAGCTCCTGCTTCAGCTGCCCCAATGATGGACCTGAAGGCTAAATAAACCCTTTCCACCCAAGTGGCTTGTACTCGAGGTGTTTATCACAGCAACAGAAAAGATCAGGCCGGTGCTAGAGTTTGGATACCTGGGTCCTAGTTGGTAGAGCCAATCACTCGAGTGAATGGACCATGAAGTCTTATGAACAGACGACCCAATGACGGCTTCCTAATTGGTGTCACTGGTGTCACTGGTGAGGCCCGTAGGGTCTGACTGGGGAGGGTGGGAACCTGGGGCTGTACCTCCCATGACACTCCACCTTGACAGAGGTCTAAAGTATGGAGGAGCTAGGCAGACGGGCAGAGGTTTCGCAAACTATGAGCCAACACCAACATTCCTTGTGTTGAACGGTTTCTATCTCATGCTTGTCATAGCAATAGAGACAAGATTCACTAATATATGGACAACTTAACAACCTTTTCCCATGTGCTCACTTCAGTTTGGAACCCAGGCCTCAGAACTGACAAGTGCTTTACCCCAAGCCCTCAAAGGTCACATTATGGGGACGGGAGAGATGGCTCAGGAGTTAAGAGTATTTGCTGTTCCTGCAGAGGACTTGAGTCGGGTTTCTGGTAGCTCATGGCCATCTGTAACTCAAGCTCTATGAGGATAACAAACCTCTGACCTCACACTCACTCACACACAAACCAAAAAAATCTATCTGTACCGCAAAAGAAAAGCACAGGGCAAGGGCCAGCAAGCAGTAGTCTGTCATACCTCAGTTTCCCCAGTGTAAGGCAAGGGCTGGCTATGCGGCTCTGCAGGCTGGGGCGTGAGGAAGCCAGCCATCCCTGCCCCGAATGCCTTACCTCGTCATAGACGCTTTCGATCTCGTTGAGCAGGCTTTTGGAGCGCAAAGCCTTGGTGTCATTCTGCTTGAAGTTCACGGCCTGGTGGTCCAGGGACTTGAGGTACGCCTTCTCATACTGCTCACGCCATATCTTGTTGAAGCCTTGCTGGGCCTCCCGCCACTCTTCCTCCTTGGCCTTTAGCCTGTGGGGAGCAGAGCTCAGTGACTGACACCTAGACTCTCCTGGAATCCCAGGGGAAGGGCCTACCTTCCTCCCAGCAAGTATACATCTGGTCTGCACCACAGAGAACAAGTCAGCATGTGGGAGGGTGAGGCAGGAGGATGTCCAGTTCTAGGCTGGCCTGGGCTACAGTGAGAAACCCCCAACTCAAAAAACAGTAAGAAAGGCCAGGTGGTGGTGGCACACGCCTTTAATCCCAACACTTGGGAGACACAGGCAGGTAGATCTCTGTGACTCTTGAGGCCAGCCTGTTCTACAGAATGAGTTCCAGGACATGCTCCAAAGCCATGCTCCAAAGCTACACAGACAAACCCTGTCTCAAAAAGAAAACAAACAAACAAAAGCAAAACCAAAAAGGAGCCCAGCACTCAACCCAACCAAAAAGGATGTCATCCCAGCACTCAGATCTGGAGTTGGAAGGCTAGCTGTGGGCACATGGTAAGTTGAAGGGCTAGGCTACATAAGACCCTACCACCCAAACAAAGAAACAGAAACCAAAAAACACACAATGGGAGAGGGATGGAGGAGGCAGTGGTCCCACATAGCCAACGTGGCTACTTAAAGTGATTTTATGTGCATGTGTGTTTTGTCTCCATGTACATGTACCACACACATGCCTGGTGCCCCCAGGTTACAGATAGCTGTCAGCCACCATGTGGGTCCTCTGGAAGAGCAGGCAGTATTCTTAATTGCTGAGAGTCTTTTTAGCAGTGGCTGGTTTTAGGCCCCCACCTCCTCCCAGACACCCAGCTGCCTGTTCAGCTGTCACTAGTAGACAGAACGCTGGGGAGGTTTGTGTTTTATAGTCACAATTCTCCCTTCACGTCCCAGGACTCAACCAAGAGTAAGCGGGAATAGTGCATCTGCTGGACACACGGCCCATGCATTGCCACAGGTGTTCTAAGTAACCCAGAGGTGATGGACATGCATGGACAAGGTGTAAGTTTTATGTAAGCACTGTCTCAAATTCTAGAAGGGTCTGGAGGGTCCCAGAACCACCCCCCCCAAAAGTGAGATTGCATGTCTACACCTGGAAACACAACAGGTGTCCAGGAGCGTGGCTGTCAAGACTTTGTTCAACACTAGAGTGGGAGGGGTGAGCTGGGGCCAGGGTCAGGTGACACCATTGGGCAGGAACTCTGGTAGCTCCCCTTTATAAAATGCCCTGAGTCAGGGAGGGAAGTAGAAGGTGGGAACACCTTTTCAGAACGACAGGCACAGCAGTGGCAGGGTTCCTCTTGAGGCTCTCGATGACCTCGGGGGCCTTGTCACCATAGATGCGGTGGATGGCACGGCGCTGGATCACCTCTGATGTGCCACCCAGGCAGTCATCCAGGCGGAGCTTCTCCTGGTCCTCAGGTGCCATCCTCGACAACTTCTTCTGCACACTCTCCAGCACACGGATGGTGGCCAGGTTGGTCTCCAGGACAACGTCTAACTGCAGGGAGGGGCAGGCAGCAGTGGTGTGTGAAGGTCATCATGGCAGTACGGGGGTGTGTGGAGCCAGTAAGTGTGGGAGAGGTGGACTCTGCTGATACCGAAGTGGCCCTACCACCTAATAGGGTGCTTGGGCACCACAGTGATCACCCACTCAGTGATATCATTTGTACTTTATACTCATTTTCTGGCTTTCTTATGACTTACTTCATTTTTAACTTTGCATCTATGTATAAGTGTGTGGGTATGTACAAGTGAGAATAGTACCCCTGGAGCACAGAAGGTGGTGTCAGACCCCTTGGAGCTGGAACCTGAACCAAGGTCTCTGCAAGAGAAGTCAGCACTTTTGTTGTTGTTGTTGTTTTTGCTTTATGTTTGAGACAGGGTTTCTCTGTGGCTTTGGAGGCTGTCCTGGAACTAGCTCTTGTAGACCAGTCTGGCCTCGAACTCACAGAGATCCACCTGCTGGGATTAAAGGCGTGCGCCATCACCACCAACGCCCAGCTGAGCAGTCAATCAGCACTCTTAACTGCTGAGTCCTCTCTCCAGTCCCTTTTTACTTTTTCATCTTTCTAAGACAGAACTTAGGCACTCCTCTTGCCTTTGTGCTGTGAAGAAGGGCATGTGCCCCACACAAAACGTACTTGTCTCTCTTGAAATGACG